TAAAACCAGGGGACAACCCGACTCACCTCGAGTTCGTTTCCGGTGACGTAATGTTGCTAAGGATGTTGAGATGGATTGTTTGGGTTTCCCGGTGTAATTGTTTGGCCTAGTGGTAAGTTATTTGCCTAGTTGCCCATATTATATGTTAATTGTTATCTTCAAGAACTTGTATATTCATATTATTCGCCGTAATCCAAGAGTAAAACGCTGAGAGGTACGGAGGTGCGCACTAGAAACAAGGATCGAAATCGACTGCGGCCAAAGCATACTGGCGAAGGTCCGAGTTGAATATAATCTGTATGACCGCTCGCGGTTTTACGCGGATGACGACGGCATGGCGGTTGTACTGGTAAACAACCGATGTTCTTGGATGCGCGGATTTAATAGACATTTCTTGTAACAGAAGTGATAGCAGTGATATTGGACAAACTAATACGCGTTTGGCTATAAGGTAATGTACTTATTAACTACACAAGGTGCCAGTTACTGTAGCATTCGTCAACTTTGCATAATCGATGGTCGAATTATGCCTTTAACGAGACAAAGATGGCAGCGGTGGCGCCAGATTTCGAAATAACGCATTGGGAAATAAATTCACAAAATGTATTTACTACCAAAGTCTTAATGTTTCTCTACTCTATTTTTGCCTATTATTGCTGATAATTACCTGTATTCTGTAAATGCCGGTCAAATGCTCATCTGCAACATACAAGTACACTGCACGCACGCCCTGTGCACAAACAACATGTATAAGAGAGTAGGTACGTGGGAAAGCGTGATCGCAAAATTTCCTCGACGCTCGCTTTATTTCACATGATTGCAGAACAAATACACAACCAACAGCCTCCATCTTGGTATATAATCTATGTGTAGCTAAATGTTCACTTGTTCGAATTATAACTGTTCTTTGTTCTTACCTACTCCCGCCAGAGATATGTCGTGAAATCCTCCAGGAAATGTTCTTTCAGTGAAAATGTAAATCGAACGAGATGTCTGTTTATACACGAGTAATGGGGCGCATTGCATGCCGGGATGAGCTGCTGCCTGCCTCCGAGCTCCGTTTCGAGGCTCGCCAAGCTAAGCATAATGCGTGCGGGTATGACATTACAAACATGACTACAGTGATTGGTCGAAAGATCGAGTAGCGCCGTTAGGGATTTTCGGATGATACGTTCGGTTTACATTTTCACGGAGAGAACATTTCCTGCAGGATTACACAAGATATCTCTGGCGGGAGTAGGTAAGAAGAAAGGACAGAGTTAACTGTTATAATTCGAACAAGTGAACATTTAGCTACACATAGATACCAAGATGGAGGCTGTTGGTTGTGTATTTGTTCTGTAATCGTGTGAAATGAAGCGAGCGTCGAGCAAATTTTGCGATCACGCTTTCCCACCTGCTCTCTTATTCATGTTGTTTGTGCACAGGGTGTTCTTGTGGTGTACTAGTGTGTTGCAGATGAGTATTTGACCGGCATTTACGGGTAAATATCGGCAATAATTGGTGAAATAGAGTAGAGAAACATTAAGACTTTAGTAGTAAAACATTTCGTGTTTATTTACCTTTTTTTTATATTGAGACGTTCCAAGTGCCTGTGTTCCAGTGGTTCCTCTCCAGCAGCCACTGACTGAGGCTGAGCCAGTGTCAGCTGTGAAGTCCTGTGTTAGTGTGAGTGTTCCACCTACGACACATGCATATGCATTTGGTACGTTTCAATAATAAGATTATGGTAAATAAACACGAAATGTATTTGCTACCAAAGGCTCTATGTTTATATGTTCTCTATCGACGAGTTATTCTACATAAATGCCGTTCAATTGCTCCTCTGCAACACTCAGTCTCACAGCACACACGCTGCTGACTACAAAAATATATAATATCAGGAGTTAATGAGACAAAGTTTGAGACAGAGTTTGACTCGTATTTGGTACTGATTTCACTACATTTTTGTCGTACGAGTTCGATGTGAATAACAATACAAATGTATACAAACATGAGCTTCTTTTGTTCACTGGTCCGTATTCTATCTTCCGGTAGTATTACAAACCGCATAGCTTCCTTCGTTTTGACATAAATCATACTTTTGCACGACATGGTTTTCACGTTATTTACCGTCGTGTGACGTTGCCAAGCCGCAAATTCTCATGCACAGCAACTCGAAGGAGGCGCGACAGGGAATTTAGGCCGTATAGTCTAGCCGAGTGCAGAAAATGCGCTTAGAAATTAAGTTTCGTTGTGCCCATGCTAGGTTTAAAAATTAAAACTATTTTACATTTAAAGTGATTACGTCACCGTAAATAATAAAAAATAAAAAAAACATTTCCACTTTTTCACATATTATAAGTAACTAGGCTAGCTATTACCCGTCCTCCAGACGGGTTTGAGTGGGGTATGATTTGAGGAAGGCGGTTTAACCATTTATCTCTCCCTTTTAGTTGAGGATGTATTTACAGTAAATACTGATATGTAGACTCGAGTCATATATCAATATTTGTTTAAAAAGATTGTATCTAAATATATATAAAATCTGAAATTTTACCTTAAAATTACATAACATTTTTTAAATAAAGGGAAATTGGGTAATTTCGTAGTACAATTTCACTTATTTACATATTATTTTTGAAAATATTATTCTGGTACGAAGCATTATTAATAAGTCAAATTCTTAAAAAAAAGCAAATGCATGAGTAGTTTTGAAGATATATCTTTTCTGAAAGGTCAGGGAACGGCGAGGGCAGGGTTACACTCCGTTGTAAATATTTTGCACACTCGGCGCGCACACACACATACACACCGGGCGCATGCGCAGGCACAATCACACGGCGCACCCCGCACAACATCAGATTTACACACGGACATGCACACGCCATGCACACGCACACAAGCATAATACTACACACCACGCACACGCACACTCGCATACATCATCACATGCACCACGCCACGCACACGCACACGCACCACACATACACGACACATACAACTGCGCCGCTATCTCGTTGGGTTTTGCTCTTAATTTTGGTCGATCACAACTCACTTGTGCGCGGCAGTGTTTGGCTGTTGTACACCGCAGCCGCAATGTCTTTGGTGTGGCGTTGTGCGGCACCGTGCGAGTCGTGCGTGCGTTGTGCGTGCGTTTAGTGTGGCTTGCTAGCTAGGGTGACAGGGTCACTAAATTAAATGCTTATTATATATACTTTAATCTACATTTAGTATAGCTACATTATCATTAAAACCCGTGAGAAACACGTTAATGTTTACCAATTTCAAGGTTTGGTATATATAGTGTGCGTATAGTTGTATGCTCTTAAACAACTCAAACGGGTCTAAAAATGTCAGGGCATGGGAGCGGCTAGCGCTGGGCACGGTGTACACTCCGTGTGTAAATATTGGCCACACGCGCCGCAACGCCGTAATCACCGCTTCACACACATACAGCCTGCGCACGCACAAATCACACGCGCACCCACGCACACAATACACATTTAACACACGGGCGCGCACACTACCGCACAGCACACGCATACATTACTGACTCCGGTGAATGAGATTTTTCGGCGGAATCGGCGGAACATCGGCGGATTTGACAGTCGCAGGGCGTCAATGCTTGCTGAAACGTGAAATTCGTTGAGAAATTGGGGGATAAGAATGTAAAAATGAATTATACCTTGACAGTACTTGACAGTAGACTGACAGCAAAGTAATCAGTGCGGGTGTTACAGATAGAATACTAGCCGTGTTACCGGCCTGCCCGCTAGTGCGTAGGTCCTCATGGCAGCAGCGGTGCTCGATTGCATGTACGGCACGCCATCTGTCACGCGAACGATTGTTTCATGTCCTATGGCGCGGAAGCGATGCTGTTGGGCGCCTGGGAGGGGATAACGAAAGTACAACGAAACGCTAGCTCCCTCATTCCTATTCGTTTCATCGCTGATGAGGGGTTGATAATTATTAAGGATGCCGACTGCCTA